GGGCCATCACGTCAAGGGCATCATTGGGGTGGCCTGGGGTGGAAATGTACAGCTGAGTATCATCAGCGTACTGATGGAAATCCACCCCAAAGCCACGGATGATCTCCCCCAGCGGCTTCACATAAATATTGAACAGTAAGGGGGAGAGGACTGACCCTTGTGGCACCCCACAAGTTAGGGGCCTTGGGGCCGACCTCTGTTGCCCCTTAGTTATTGTTTAGCATACAGCCCATTATTTAAGTGTCCTTCTTCATCATTTTCTTGCTGCAGGAAGTCTACAATTTCCTCAGAAACCTGCTGTATTTCTCACATCAGTCTAATAACTCAGGATTTTGCAGTTGTTCTTAAAGGTGATCTTTCTGTCCTTTTCTAGAGGAGTATTTTCTTACCATTTCTCCATTCCTCTCATTGTTGCTTTTCGCCAACACCCGAGCAAGCCTTCCACATATTGTTTCTGCCCAGCAGGGAATCTACAGTATGGGGACACTCGCAAAGGGTGCTTCCTTATTCACAGAACTGCTTGACAATGCCTATCAAGGTTCCCAAAGGATGGTTCACAGTCCATGCTCTCACACTTCCCTGCTTCTTCCCTTTCAGAGGACAACTTTGACATACCTGGCCAAGTTCTTGAGCAGCAAAAGATGAGAAGTAGTCAGATCCTTTGTGTGCGTGCATGCGTGTGTGTGTGTGTGTAGGGGGGAAATAAACCACTATAAAGGATTATCTCCCTTTTTGGAAGGGAGGTGAAAGAGAAGTATGAATTCACAAACCCAGAACCCTGGCGTATTCAGATAAGTAAGTTTCCTGACATCTTTTTGACAGGAAATGCTCCAGGTTTCTTCACCTACGGCTAGGCCCATAACTTAGCAACATTCCTATAGGATGGCAAGAATAGACATTTCTATACTAATCCTATGACATTTGTTCCTCTATAAGCACTGTTTCAGCAATATGTGTTGCTTGCCTGTGGAAACCCTCACAGTCCTCCAGCGTAGGATACTGCTAAAATAGGCTTTTATTCACAGACTTTTCCTGGGTATTTGGACCATGACATCCTCCATTTGTAATCGGCCTCCTTTCTCCCACCACTTTTTTTTCACCACAAAATTAATGGTTGGGAAGATAAGACAGGATAACTGCACACTGTCTTTTTTTTGGGAAATACTGAAAGCTGCCCACTCTCACAATGCCCAGATCTTGCTGCCTAATTCAGGGCAAGCAATGGAAGCTGTATGGCAGAACAGAAAAAGGAGGTAACACATTTCTTCCTCACTTTTTTCCCTTTTTTTT